TAACGTTTTAAATTTAAGAACACTGAAATATTGCAATAGAATACGGTAAATTTACGAAAATTCTCCTGAACTTAGGTTAAATAACGAAAAATGCTCCATTCTATCCGTAATTATCAAAATCCCCTTGACTAACTGTTGATTGAGATTTTTTTAACAAAAGACGTGTAAAATCTATTGTACCCTTCTGTTAAATATACGAAAAATAAAAGAAAATATTTGAAATTATGTAAAGTCTATTATACCATTAATTAGCTTGTGTTAAAATTGTTACGGAAAAATAACGTTTATCATTGTTCCTAAAAATAAAAAAGTTTTTACTTTCTCAAAACTACCCATGTTTTTAATTTGCACCACATATTTCAATATCTTTTCACTTTAACCACATTTTTTCACTTTCATTTTTCACACTCGTTGTTTTCATCTGTGACGATTCACCTCACTTCCCTCTTAACTTCGAAAACACATAGAGAAGATTACGGTTAAACAAGCCCTAACCACGAGACAAATTGTTATTCTCATCCATCGTTGCTCGAATCGCGAAGTTTACCTCCATAAATCAAAGGTTCGTAACGATTTTCTTTCAAGTCTTTTAGGGTTTTAAATTTCGGTAAAAAAATTAGGGTTTTTGATTTTTTATTCAATATAAACTTGTATTACAAAAAACACATTCACAACTTTTTAATATTACCATTAACCCCATATGGTAACTTTTGTCTTGAAAAAAGTAGCAGTGGTGGAATCGACATTTTTTAGGAATATTCTCTAAAACCGAAAAAATTCCGTGGAAAATCACACTGTAAGAGGTCAGTGTAAGGCGAAAACTAACGTCGGAGGGATTTTGATAATTACAGATAAGTAGGGGTGTTTTTTGTTATTTAGCCTAAGTTCACGAGGATTTTTGCAATTGACATGTAAAAGGAAGAAACAATATTTAATAACAAAACAAATTAGAAATGATTCCTTCAAAATAATGAAATCATATGATTTGTCAAAACTACCGTAGTCTAGTGTAGCTTTAATCTACACAATATTTTCCCTCCTTCACATGATTAAAGTTTTATTTTTATACTAGTGTGGTTTACATCTCTCGTTTGCAAGATATTATACGAGAGTATATGTTTATACAGTGCATACGGTTGATTGCGGGTTTCTTCATTACAAAAAAAAAAAGTTTTCTCTGAAAAAAAAAAAAACTAGTTGATATTTTAGATACCCAACTTTCACTTTGAAAGGACGGTAAGTAAGATTCGAGAGTTTTTTTTTTCTTATTTTTGTCTGCCAATAACTTCGGCTATTTCCTTCTCTCCCATTCTTTATTCATTAACATAAATTATAGTATATTATTTTTTGTGCACTTAGACTAGTAATCTACTTGTAGTTATTTTTTTCTTAAATAAATTTTTTAGATCATTAATAATTAGCATTTGGTCATTCATTAATTCTCTCTATTTTTTTAATATTTTCAAATTCTCAAATTATATTACGTAGTTCGTTGTACCAATGAAAATACATTAATTGAAGTATTAATTAAATATATATTTTGTTGAACGTATATGTTTTTGTTTTGTTTTTTTTGTTTTTTTTTTTTTTGATACTTTTATGCTTATTTTGTATTTTTTATTAGTTACATGCTAAAAAAAAAAGCATGCATGCATAGATGAAGGTGTATGAGATGCTACCATGTGATTTTCCAATTTGCACCATAGATCTATACACATAGCTATCTATAAACACACATACATATGGTGTGTGTGATTATGTGTAGATGAATGGTGTAAAATCACCGGATATAACATCTACAAAACTCATAGATGGATCAGCTTATACTTCTCAATATTGTTGCAGTTAGATATCTTACAAAAATGAGTTCATGTAAATTTTATTATAATTACTTTAAATAAAAAATGTTTTTTTATGTGGAAAATATATGTACAATGCATGCACTCCAATTTGGAGACGGTCTTCAAAGCTCGTGTTACGTCCCTAAATTCTCCGATTGCGTGTGATTTACGAAATTTTAATAGTCCTTTTTAGCTTTGCGCACGGATTAAGGATTTTATTAAACGTGTCTTGATTTTATGAAAAATATATGTTTTTAGACTAAAATGACCATATCTTATAATTAATAACAGAGAAAAATGAATTAAAAAAAAAAGAATATTACAAAGATTTAATAAGGATAATATGTAATAAAATATTTTTAAAAAGAAACAGTTATTATGGAACAGATGAAGTACACGAGTAAAATTTACTAAATCTTTCATCAAAATTTAGTGGTTCCAATGAGAGAAGCCATTTTCGTTGATGTAATAATGATTTGTTGATGTAATAATGATTGTCTTGAAGATAAACATAATATTCATTAAAGTTTGTACTAATGTGATTTAATTTAACTGCTTGACTAAAAATATTGGTGAGAGAGTCCTCAAATTTGAATTGATAAATGTGTTTGGGGATAATTATTTCTAATAAGCAATTCATCATTGCTTTGTTCTATCAGATAGAACTTTACCGATTAAAATATTTACTGTATGTTTGTATTAGTAATTATTTATTGTACACACATCTTATATATAAAAGAAATAAATGCTGAGCAATTCTAAAAATTTTAATGATATTTCTGTAATTATTTATTTGTAATATTTTTCCCTACTAATTTCTAACTATAATTTTCAACAATTATCAAAATTAAAACTAAACTGTGAAGAATCCTACCCTAATGGTACATTTGTTATTATTTATTTTTAACTAGCATTTTTTCCCCGTGCGATGCGCAGAAAATTATTTCAGAAGTGGAAAAAAAATAATCAATCATAATGAATAAAATATAGGAATACTAAACATAAAAAAAAATTTTACTAATGGCAGAAATGTATTCCATATTTTTAATATGCACAGTTAAGTTTTTTTTAAAATCTTGGACTAGAGGAGTTAGTAAATCCCCAAAATTATAGTAGGTATTTAAATAAGCGGAAAATC